GCACTTGTCGTGTGCAGGTGCACCAGACTCAAGCATGGCGGGCGGAAGTACAACAGGGTTTGGGTTCAGGGTTTGGGTCTAGGGTTTAGGGTGTACAGTGCTACCTGTTTGAACGTTTGTTTGCAGTTGCTACCTTTGAGGTGCGTGGTTTTTCAGCCACCAAAGGTAACTGTCATGACAGGCCTGTGGTGTGAGGAGCGAGGTCATCCACGCAGGGAGGGAAATCGCCAGGGCCTCAGGATGGGCTTCTAGGTTTAGGATTTAAGATTTAGGGTTTGATTCAGGAGTTAGGGTTTTAGGGTTGACGGGACTTGTCCTATTGCAGTGGACAGCTTGATGTCGTATTTTGTAGCATATCTGCACTGCGCTGCAATAGAGCACAGTACATCAACAGAGCATATACGGGGTTGCGGTCTTTTGGTTCACGACACACTATTTGCGCGCAGTCTGTGGTGTGTTCCTAGCATGTTCTCGAAATTTCACCACGTCACAGGCAAAGTATGCGATGGTCAAGCATTGCGTTTGTCTACGTTGCACTGGGCAGCGCATCATAGAAGCAGCAGTATATCCACGTCGCTGTGGTGCATTACTGCAGTCACAGTCTTTGGACGGGGAAGCCCCCTACTAGAGCCCACATATTCCAGCCCTTGCTTTGGCTATTCTCCCGAAGTTGTAGGACGTTTCGAAGTTCGAACTCAGGGTCTAGGATTCAGTATGGGCTTCGAGGTGGTGGGGTTTTGGGATTGCAGCTCAGGGGGCCTTGACTTCAGTTGACCGTGACGAATCGAACTTTCAAGCTGCGGTCAGTTATCTTCCGGATCTATGCGCGTGTTCGTACGACTGTTGCTGTTTGTTGTTCGGTGGACTTGGAACAGTTTGGGGTTTAGGATTTTTCGTTGATGGAGTTTCTGCTAGTGAAACACTTGTTCCTGCTGGAGACCAAGGCATAGTGTTCTGTAGATGGCTTAGCTACTATCTCATGGTATATTACAGTATAGTATAATATAGCATAGTCTAGTATAGTACATACAGTACGGTTTTGTACAGCAGAGTAGTGTAGAGTACCGCATGGTGAAGTAGAGTAGAGCATAGTAGAGTCTATTGTAGTATAGTAGCTGCTAGGTCCTCGGAAGTCAAGAACAGAGTGAGAGTCAAAGACACGAGTCAAATCGCTGAGAGCCCGTGGTTCGTTTTAGCTTTTGGTGGATTGCTGATACTGGCCTCCGTTTGTATCATTGCCAGCGTTGTGCGCGCTGCTTTAAATAAGACAGGGCTCTTGTTGGTCAGAGGACAGAAGTGGTTACTTTACATACAGCAACATAGCCTTTTATCAAGAGGCTCTGTCAGCTCTGTGTGTATGCCAAGGCCGCGAATTGGCGAGCGAACCACTACAAAATTGCCTTGCACGACGAGTTGTTCCAAGCGGTCAAGGACAATTTCTAGAGGAAGGCAAGCGTAGAGGCTTGCGCAGTGTTGTCTTGAAGTCGTCATTCAATCAACGATCTGGTATCGTGGATCCTAGCCCTCAACATGCCCAAAGAATCTGCAGCCTCGCAAGTTTCCTAAACCCTGACTGAACCCGAAACCGCAGACCCTAAAGCCTAAGCCCGACATCCTGGTGTCTGAACCCTTAATCCAGTGGGGAGTCCCTTTGCTCACGGACGGAAAGAGGCGTTCAAAACGACATCTGGTGTCACGATGTCGTATTGACCCAAAAGCCCTAGACCCTAAACCCTGTCGAGGAGCTTCGGAAACACGTGGAGAGCCGCAAGAAGCCGGGAGCAGGCCCTTGGTTTTGGGTTCTTTGGGTTCCTTGGAGGGTTTCTTTAAGGCTTAAAGGTTCCTTTCAGGGTACAACAGGGTCCGATAACAGCGTCCCCTTTAAGGGTTCCTCTTTGAGGGTTCAGGTTTCCTCTATACGGTTTCCTTTAAGGATTTCGTTAAGGCTTGCAGGTTCCTTGAAGGATTCCTGTATCAGGAATCCTTTTGTAAGGGTTCCTTTAAGGAGTTCTTATAATGTAAGGGTTCCTTTACGGGTTCGTTCAAGGGGTTCCGTTCCTTTTAGGGGTTCCTGCAAGTTCTGCAAGGGCTCCGTTTCTGAAGGCTCTCTCAGCGAGTTCCGGCAAGGGTTCCATCAGGGATTTAGGGTTTGGGATTCAGGATCGGGGCGCAGGCTTTAGTCATAGGTTTCAGGCATTTTGAGTCTAGGGTTCTTTGGATTTCGTTGGCAGAGCCCTTGCCCACGTCGGCTGATACTACCCAGTAGGCAGTCGTTGCAAGACCATTTGCTCCCATCATAGACCCCGATCCCAAACTAATGCGGCACCCATTGCCGAGTATCCACATCTCTCCCAATGGGTGGTATTGTGATGAAAGCCTTTACAGCAAGATGTCGGACATGCGCATAACCGAGGGCCCGTTTGCTTATTTTCGAAAAAGTCATACCGCTTGAGTGTTTGCCGTTGGGTAAGTGGTTGGTTGCCCTAAACCTGAAACCGTACATACCCGAGCTTGAAGGGTTAAAAGTTTTGGGTTTTCCATATAATGTCTTTGCATGGTGGTTTTATCAGAAAAGAAACCCACGGAGTTGTTACTCATAGCTTTGTCTATAGGTCTAAGGGGTTTGTAGAATTCATGACAGGTGCGCCCGAGCAGCAGCGCATGCGAACCTCGGCGCGAATGGGATTTCAGAAACATGCGGGACCTCCAAGCAGACCCGAAGTGTTAGGATCCTCATGATAAACACCCCCAACAAAATCAAAAAAAGGTCAGCACCGCAAGCAACATCGTGTTTATCACGGTGCGCTACAGAAATATTAACGGACAGGCTGACGTGGCCTATTGGTCCGTGTCCGACCCTTTCATACCATCCCACATGATACCTGGGCCTTTCTAAGAGTTCGGGATACTGAAATGGGTCTCAGCTCGCAGCCACACACCCTGAAACGCCAAGCCCGAAACTACAAACCATGAACCGGAAAGCCCTCAACCCCCGTGTAAGTCTGTGGGTCCCAGATTATCTGAAGAACCGTCCTCCATGTACCCAAGGTCCCACTCCAAAACTTCGCAGAATCCACCTTAAGCACAAGTCCACGGCCACAGAACACAGGGATTGATTAGGGCCAATGTAGGGTTAGTAGGTCCCGGTGTAGTGTTTAGGGGAGAGCCGTAAACCCCAAACCCTCAACCCCAAGCCCTAAACCCTAAACCCAAGGCATCGCCATCACCGGCTCCGGATTGCCACCGGAGAACCCCTTGGTCATCGAGGCCTTGGCTCGAACGGCTCGGGAGTTGGGATGTGGGAAAATCTTGACGCCTAAATAGTTGGGGACATATACACCAATACTAGTCTTAGGGTTCTTTGTTTTGTTTAAATTCTGAAAGCCTGTGAAATAACCCGTACTATTCTGAAACTCATTAAATGGCTTCCTTACCATGACTATACTATGAAGGAGCCCAAAAACACATTCTAATTCTTAAGGCCCTAACATTAAAGGGGAAGTGCGAAGGAGGAGTCCTAATCCAAGATGCAGTTGGAGGAGGGTTTCAGGGTCTGAGGAGGCTTCAAGCCTTTCAGATTCGTGTTGGGGGCTTGAGAGTTTGAGGGCTTGAGGAGGGCTTTCAGGTATTGGGGACCCTAAACCCTAGACCCTAAACTGGTTGTTCTCTGAAAGAGGGTCCCTTTAAGGGTCCTTTTTCTCAGGCTGCCGTACTATGTTGGCGGCCTAACTTCGAGAATCACACAAACCCTGAACGCTTAAACCCTCAACCAGAAACCATTAGACCCTGCACCCCTAAACCCTAAACCCTTGGGGTATGGGGTGTTGAGGTTTCAAGGCCTCAGAGTCCTCAGAGGCCTCAAGACTGTTGAGGCTTCCTTCTGTTGGACAGAAACTGTGTGTTACTTGTTACACATCATATACTATACATGGTAAGTATATGCATATTTACATACAAGTACACATACAAGTGTGTATATGTTTATATGTATATATGTATAGAGCAATAGCAAAACATAACCAAAGCCACAATATACCAAATGCAGCACTGGCAATATGGACCTCGGCGCTGATGCAGCGAAATTTTGATGCGGTGTCATGATGGTTGGATCCAGAAAGGGTTTTTATCCGAGCGCTTGCGTCAGCTAATTGGCGCCGTGAACACTAAGTCTTCGTAGCCGAGTATCTAGCCGCCATAAGCCGGCATGCGGCAATAGCTGTTGATTGGTTGGCATGGCATGAAATGAGCCCCACCCAAAGTCAAAAGACGCAATGCAACAACCTTTTGAAAAGAAAGATGGCATCCACGTAATGTCCGTTCAAGCGACCTAACGAATGAGTAGCCATCGCCCAAAAGTTCCCAACGAGGCGTGGGGCTTGCTGCGGCAATGGGAGCAGGACTTGGCAAAGCTTGACTTCTGTTTCAACAATGGCCGATGTCGTTGAGCGAAGTTCGGGGTTCTGCTAAATTCACAGACTCGAGTTCTCGAGTTTTGGCCTAGCATCAGAATCCCGATCAGGGATCAGGGACCTGAGCATGGAACAACATTGAGGTGAAATCCGGCTGGCGTTCCAGGCATTTCTGCTTGGGCATACTGTACATCCTGTGCATTGTAGAACTGAAATCCCGAAGCATGACAAATGAGCATGCTATAGTCACTAGACCCTCACCCTAAATCCCAGGGGCCTAATCCACAAGGCCCTGCAACGCTCGAACTGCCGAAAGCCCAAAACCCGAAATGCAGAAGGCCCAAACCTCAAAAAGACAGCAAGCAAAAGCACCCAAATACTGCAAAGCCCTCGAACCCAACGCCCTCGCAGCATCCTTCTGGTGTATAATATAGGAATTAGGTATAAGGTTTCTCCGCACCCTGAATTTCCCAATCCCTAAACCCAAAATGTCTCAAGCCTCCAGGTATAAACCAGCCCCAAGGCCCAGATTACCCTTATAGAGACCCCGAAAAGGAGCGCTGTAACACCCTAAAACCTGACTGGCGCCAGGACAACGTCGCTCTGCGGGCCGAAGCGCGGCTTTCCAGCGCCGTGGAGAGAGTGCCTTGGCAGTTCAGGGCTTCGGGTTTAGGGTGAGGGCTTGCAGGCGTTTAGGGTCTGTAGTGGGTTTAGGGTCTTTGGAGTTGAGGGTTAGGGTTTCAGGATTTTGGAGTTTAGGGTATGTTTGCGCGTGAGTGCGTGTGTGTTTGTTTGTTTGTTTGTTCGTTCGTTGGTTTGTTTGTTTGTTCGTTCGTTCGTTCGTTTGTTTGTTTGTTTGTGTGTGTGTGTTTTTGTTCCTTTGTGTCTGTGTTATGCTACTATTCCCATTCTTGTGACTACTGGTACTGTCTGCGTTTTATGTAGGTTTTCATGCATACTCATGGTTTATGTGTAACACATTTTTTGATATTAATTTTTTGTTAGTGGCACGATGCATTCTTAGGCCCATGCAGAACTCTGGAAGCCGGTAGACCCTCGACACTAAACTCAAGAAGCCCTAGACTAAGTCAACAAGTTCTTCCAATCCTGCGGGAGTCCCTCCTAAATCCTACCCCACAAGTCCCTGCCTAGTCAAGCCCCCTTCCCTGAAGACGGAATATGATACAGGCTTCCCAAAACAAGGCCTTCAAGAAGAGACTGTTGTATCAATCAGGGGCCTACGGCATAAGAAGTCTTTACCCTCCATCCCCGGCCCTGTTTCGTGAAGCCATCATCCAAGACCCCGAAGATCGTTAGTATGGGGCTCGGAATACTTGGTGACCATATTTCTTCAGATTCCTTGATACAGGTATGACCCTCAACCCTAAACCCTAAACCCTGTAATATCATGCCTACATGCCCCAAAACCTCATTCTGATCACCACGGCCTCAAAGCCCCAAGTCGCAAAAACTCTGAGTTCAAGTCGACCGGCGTCCTCAAATCTGAAAGCGCAACAAGCTCGAATCCTTGAGGCTTATGTCCGATAGCATAATACTGATGCTATTACTATTACGATTACGATTGCTATCACGATTAGTATTACTATCACTTTTGCTATTACTGTTTCGAACAATAATCGTGGTAACTATGAGTATCGATTTTGTGAGTATTGAAAGACTCAAACTAGACACGAAGAGAACATGTGATGCAGAAAGGCTTTCTGCTGTACTTGACCTACAAAATCAAGAGCATTAGCTTGCAGAAGTTCTGTAGCAGAATCCAGCATGAGGGAAACCTTCTCGACTGAGTGCCAGCTGGGCTGGAATCCACGACGCGACGTAAATTCAACAGCTTACCCTAAACCCTAAAACCTTAACCCCCCCAAACCCTAAACTAAACCTTAGACACTACACCCCCAAGCCCTAAACCCTCAACCTCCAAAGGCTGATCTTTAAAACAAGGACCACTGAAAACACGATTCCGTTGGGGGGGGGGGTCGGGTTTAGGGTTGAGGTTTTAGGGTTTTCAGAACTCCCTTTTAAACACTTTACCAACATACAAATAAAAACCCGAAACCCCTTTTAAAACGGTTGAGCGAAACCTACCCGGAAAAATTGAACAAACCTTCAAAAACCCGGCCCCTAAACCCTAAACCCAACACCCCAAACCCATAGCAAACCTTGGAAGACTCGGAAACCTTCAACCCTAAACCCTAAACCTTTGAGCTGAGGTGAAAGGTGGCTTCAGCGCCGACACTCCCGAGGTTCCGGAGTTTTCAGAGTTTCGGGATTATTTTTTCAGGGCTTATGGTTTTCGGATTCTGGCTTGGAGGATATCACAGTGTTCAGGGTGTTTGGGTTTTTTGCTTCCCGGTTTAAGGTTTAGCAGTCTGCACCTCTGGGTCTATGGTTTTAGAGATTGGAGGCTGCTTTGAACTGCCACCACGTTAGAAACGGGCATCTTCTCTTCTTAGTGGTACGGCAGACAGAGGTATCGTGCCTTCCTTTGTGCCGTCCTTGCAATTGTATGCAAAAGAAGAATCTCAGGCAAGCTCTGAACCCACCCACCCCTCCGGCACTTCTGACTGAGACAGGTAACAATACTAGTACTGAAATTTTAAGTACTAGTAACATTGGCATTATACTTGTAATTGTCTATATACGCCTAATCAGGACGAGTTCTTGTGGTTCGGACTGGGACGGTTCAAGTTCTTACCCCAAAGATCGCAATGCCAGGCCGGAGACTTGCTGGGCTCCGCCATCGCAGAGGCGCGTGATGGGAGCTGCCCATGGTGTTTCCGGGCTGAGGGAAATGCTTCGGGTTTGAGGTGAGGGCAAAACTCCTAGCTTTCAGTGATGGCAAGCCATCATAAGTTAAAGCAGCGGCGGCAGCCCGAAGCGCTTGATTTCCAGGTGGCACAGCAAGGCGTCGACGCCGCTTTCCTCGATGCGGCGCGGAACTCTCTGGCCAACTGGCAGGCGCTGAAGGGCCTCAAAAGATCCGAAGAGCGTTTTCTATGGTCCCATGAGGGACGTAGGGGCACCTTTTGTGTATCACTGAAAGAGCCCTAGGCGGCGAGGATCAGGGTGCGAGTTGGATTGACTGAATGGCTTTTCCCCAACCCTAAACCCTAAACTCAACAGCTTAAAACCCCAAACCCGAAATCCTAGACCCAAAAGTCTAAACCCGAAACGAGTGCAGTGTTCGCTGTGTGCCCCAGGTCTCGGGGGGTCAAGCGCTGTCGTCGGCACTTCCATTCTGTTATATTATATGTTATCGTATTCAATTGTACTACAGCATGATATATGATATTTTGATATACTTGACTATGCTATACTAGACTGGGCTAGACTAGACTAGACTATACCATACTATACCGCATTATATTATACTATACTGTAAAATATTGCTTTTCACGTTTCTGGCCGGCGAGCTGAAACAGGACGACTTACCAATTCTGCTCGCCAGGAATCACGTCTGAAACGGGCCAGACAGGATCTGGTGACTGGGCCCAGTTATTCGCCAATTATATAGAGACTATCACGGAGTTTCAGTACTACATATATATATATATAAAAGTCTATCGGGACTCCAGCAAGGGGGGTATTATTGTAGAAATAAATATGTATACACACATAGATATTTATGGATTCTGCAGCAAGAGGAAGTACGGTATAACTATGTAGGGACTACAATGGTCGTTAGTTTCAGTATATGAGCATCTCCTGGACGGGTTGTCGAATCCAACTGAAGTACAAAGTGCACAATTCAAGGTGGTTTCTTGTTGACAATAGCCAGCAGGGCTCGAATCCTGCTCGAATCGTAATCGCTAGCCAGATGGGAGCCATATTGAAGCTGCATTGGGGAGCAGATCTTGAGTCAACATGGCCCTGAGACTTTGTTTCTGTTTGATTCAGGACCCTAAACCCGAAACCACGAAACCCTAGTAGCTTGAACCCTAAGACTCCACGAACCGGGCTCACGGTCGATGCATGGAGCAGTTGTTTCCGAGCTGCAGAGTCAAGACTCTAAACCCTAAACCCTAGGTTAGAGAGAGGTTGAGGCTTGTGGACTCAAGCTATCGATTCCCTAACCCAGGAACTTGCCATGCGGTATTTGGACGAAGACTACCTCAAGGCCGGCGACTGTAGGGTTTCGGGTTTAGGTTTAGGGTTAAGGTTTGAAGGTTGAGGGTTTCGGGTTTGAGGAGGCAGAAAGGAAGAGGAGGAGGAGTGGCGGGTGGCAGTAGCAGGAGGATGAAGCAGTAGCAGCAACATCAAGGGCAACGTCAAGAGCCAGCAGCACCCATGATAAACTGCAGTAACCATAGCCACGTTTGCCACTGGCTCGACCAATCTTTCCTAGTTCTACTAAAGTAGTAAACACTAAACCCTAAATCCTGCACCCCAGACCCTAAACCCTAAATTACTAAAGTGGAATACCAGCTTTGCAATGTGAGGATTCGCTTGAGTTGGCCCGGATCGCCGGCATCGACGAGGCTCGGTTGTTGGACATGAGCAGTTCTCTAAATAAGGGTCCCTTTCGGGGTCCTTTTGAGAAGGGTGCCGTATTATTTTGGGGACCTCTAACATGATGAAACATGTGAGAAATCCCCGAAGCCTGAATCGTCAGCAGGTCTTATTCTCTACACAGTTTTTTTTTTCCAAGAGTCTAAGAGTTCTGGCTTCATGTGGTATTTGCAGGTTGCTTTATGCAAGGCATGACTCTACAGAATGCCCAATAATGCAACAACAAACGCGACACGGAGCAATAGGTCCACCAGTTTTTCTGCTACCATCACAGCATGCGGCAAAAAGCTACTTAAGCTCTTGACCCTAAAGAGTAAGCTAAGTGGTAAGCGCTTTTGCCGCTTTGAACTCGTAAGCTGCCTCATCCGGTCAATCGGGTTTAAGGTTTAGAGTTTATGGGTTTAGGGTTATGGGTTTATGGGTTTATGGGTTTAGGGTTTCAGGTTTATGGTTTAGGTCAAGTCTAAACTGCATGAGCTGTAGTATGGAATGAAGTTACAAATGCGAAGATGTTGGGCCACACTTGTCAGCGGGGCAAAGATGGCATTCCTCAAGTTGGAAAACGGCGTCATAATGGCAGCGCTAGCAACACCGCTTCCAGCTAAGGGTCGACACGCCATTCACGCTGTTGCTGCCAACAATGCACAGATGGAGGAAATAGGCAAGAGGCTAAAATCACGATAGCGCCAGTATTTGTGGCGGGTAGCCCTGATGATCATGGAAACACCAATATGGCCGAAACCGAAGGAACAGTTCCTCATTTCGGAGTTTCAACAAACAAGCGGGCCTTTACATTGAGCCCATCTAGTAGGAGAGTTACTTCCAGGACCCCGAGTAAGCCTTATCTTCTTGGCAAGAGTGCCTGAGCCTACGCCGGAGGAGAGCATCGAGCTGGCAACTAGGCTCCTCACACGGCTTCGCATGGTGGACGAGGTGAACAAGATGATGGACCGGGTCTAGGGATTTGCCGTGTTCAGAATTGAAGATTTTAGGATCTCGAGTCGGAGGTTATTATATTGTGCTGCGTCTAATCATTAGTTTTTGCTAGCACGCTGGCTGTAGTTCGAGCTGTTGCTGCTGTTCTCGCGACTGCGGCGCCGGCGTTTTGTGGCACACCTGCCCCAACCTGCAAGGACAAGACCATGGAGGACCCCGCCTTGCCCCCCCTGGAAGCAGCGATACAGACCGCCCACAGCCACTTCTTCGTGGAGGAGGAGCCCCCTTCAGAGCTTCCCCGCCGAAGGTTTCAGGGGATTTCGATCCTCTTGTGGAATTCAATTCGTTTCGACCAGGGTCGATGCTTGAAATTCCGTGGTGGCAATTTTGGGGGTGGATTGAGACTTTCATCATCGTGGTCTCTGCTCTTCCGGGCGTCTCCGGTCCCCTCACCGTCGTAACAGGCCCTTGTGGCCCTCAACAGAATTTAAATAATATGTCTATATATATATATATACTACCCCCCCCTCCGGTACCTAGGTTTTCGTCTTTATGTGGGCCGAGGGAAGGGGCATTTCGCAAACATGAGTCAGCCATGAATTATGGGTGTTGTGTCAAAAGTCTCTGTGTTTATGTTTGCTTGAGCATCATGGCAACCACGGAAGAATCGGACAGAAAAGGCTGCGAATGCATGCGCACGCAAAAAAGGAAAGAATGGCATATGAAAAACTGTTCTGTCAACGCTGCCGGTGGTCGCGAGGAGCCGACATGCAGTAGTGAGCGAGTGGGGGTATGGCGACGCAGGCCTTCTGAAACTTACAAACACAAACACTTTTGCGCGGCATGGGATCTTACTGTAGCAT